AAAAACCCTGAGAAATAAAAGTGCTTCTTCTATATCCCATTTTGTATACCATTATTGTCTGACATTTTAAAGAAATTTAATTTTTTACCATTAAAATTTTACTTAAATGTATTTCCCATTATCAGCCCAAGACAAACATAGTATCAGAGTCTTTACAACTTCCATCCTGGGCAACAGCTTCAGCCAAGTTAGGACTTGAAAGTCTGACAATTAACAATCCTGGAGATGAAACCATCTTGACAACTGTTCCCTTCTAACACAGGAACAAAGCTGGGCGTCGTGGCTCATGCCTGTAATCCCAGCACTTTGGAAGGCCAAGGCGGGTGGATCACTTGAGGTCAGGAGTTTGAGACCAGCCTGACCAACATGGTGAAACCGTCTTTATTAAAAATACAAAAAAAATTAGCTTGTCATGGTGGCGCACACCTGTAATCCCAGCTACTAGGAAGGCTAAGGCAGGAGAATCACTTAAACACGGGAGGTGGACATTGCAGTGAGCTGAGATCATGCCACTGCACTCTAGCTTGGGTGACAGAGTGAGACTCCATGTCAAAAAAAATTAAAAATAAATAAAACAGGAACAAAATAATTTCTGAAATCGTAATAAGTCATTTTCTGCCAGTGGGAGCTGTCATACTACATTTTTAATTTCTGGGATTCCGCATGTCTGAGTTAATCTCGCTGACTACATCAGCCTTTTGATACAGGCTGTCACTCTGTCGCTCAGGCTTAAGTGCACTAGCACAGTCACAGCTCACTGCAGCCTCCGCCTCCTGGGCTTACATAATCCTGCCCCAGCCTCCTGCATAACTGGGCCCACAGGTGTACACCATCATGCCCAGCCAATCTTTTTATTTTTGTCGAGACAGTGTCCTATACCTACACCTACACCTACAGCCAATGCCCAGGCTGGTCTCAAATTCCTGGGCTCTAATAGTCCTCCCACCTTGTCCTTCCAAAGTGCTGGGATGACAGGCATGAGCCCCCGCATCCAGCAATACTGCCAGCTTCATAAGACAATTTTAAACTGAATTGTTTTTTTCTTTTTTTTTTTTTTTAAGACACAGTCTGGGTCAGGCACAGTGACTTACGCCTGTAATCCCAGCACTTTGGGAGGCCGAGTCGGGCAGATCATGAGGACAGGAGATCGAGACCGTCCTGGCCAACATGGTGAAACCCCATCTCTTCTAAAAATATAAAAATTAGCCAGGCATAGTGGTGCATGCCTGTAGTCCCAGCTACTTGGGAGGCTGAGGTAAGAGGATCACTTGTACCCAGGGGGCGGAGGGTGCAGTGAGCCAAGATTGTGCCTCAGCACTCCAGCCTGGTGACAGAGGAAGACTCTGTCTCAAAAAAAAAAAAGACAGTCTCGGTCTATCTCCCAGGCTGGAATGCAGTGGCGCCATCTCGGCTTACTACAATTCCACCTCCCACGTTCGAGCAATTCTCCTGCCTCAGCCTCCTGAGTATTTGGGACTACAGGCATGTGCCACCATACCTGGCTAATTTTTGTATTTTTAGTAGTGATGGGGTTTTGCCATGTTGGCCAGGCTGGTCTTGAACTCCTAACCTCAAGTGATCCACCTGCCTCGGCCTGCCAAAGTGCTGGGATTCCAGGCATGGGCCACAGCACCCGGCCCTGAATTCTTAACCTGTGCTATACTTCACAGACATTAAATTCTATTATAAATGCATAGTCAAGCTATTAGTAGAAGAATTGTTACACTGAGATATGTAATATAGAAAACACTAGTTTTTTGTTTTAAATTATGAATCCTTTTTACATTGGCAGAAAGGATTTGATGTATTCAATGCACTGGATTTGATGGAAAATAAGACATTCTTGGAAAAACTCAAGTTTGGTATAGGAGATGGCAATTTGCAGTATTACCTGTACAACTGGAGATGTCCAGGTACAGATTCTGAAAAGGTAAGTGAAGTGGATATAGCCCTTGTAATCTCAACAAATGTATCTAGACAATTTCATACTTGCTTCACTTAGGCTTAAGATAGCTTTTATTTTATTTTATTTATTTTGAGATGGAATCTTGCTCTGTCTTGCGCCTTTGGATTCCCAAGTCAACATTATCCTCAGATTGCCTGCTTGTTTTCAATACTTCCCAAATATGACCAGTAATGGGTTATTTAAGGTAAAAACCCTGAGAAATAAAAGTGCTTCTTCTATATCCCATTTTGTATACCATTATTGTCTGACATTTTAAAGAAATTTAATTTTTTACCATTAAATTTTTTACCATGCAGGCTGGAGTGCAGTGGCATGATCTTGGCTCACTGAAACGTCCACGTCCCGGGTTTAAGGGAGTCTTCTGCCTCAGCCTCTCGGGTAGCTTGGATTGCCAGCACCTGCCACCATGCCTGGCTAATTTTTTTTTTTTAATTTTTAGTAGAGATGGGGTTTGACCATGTTGACCAGGCTGGTCTCAAACTCCTGACCTCAGATGATCCACCTACCTTGGCCTCCCACAGGACTGGGATTACAGGCGTGAGCCACCATGCCCCGCCTTAAGACAGCTTTTAGAAAGACATATCTATCGTACTACATTGCAATCTAATTTTTCTTACTATTCCATTTCTTCCCTCTCTTCAGGTTGGACTAGTACTACAATAGATGGATATTTTTATTTCTAGAACTCTGATATCATCGTTTGTTAATATTTAATGATGCCTGGAACTGTCATTCCAAAGAAGAATAAAAGCACAACTCAAGTGAAATTGAAGTAGTCGCTAAGCAGAAAAGAGGACAAATGTCCACCTGACACTTGTCCACACTTCTAGCTAGAATGTTAAACTTCATCCTTTTTTCACTATTGACCCATTTGTGGGAGGGATGAAAGGCTACAAAGAACACATTCTTGTAATTTTCAAACTTTTGGCTGTCTCTTGAAGAGAGGTATTTTTCCACTCTCTAGAAAAGGGACTGTTTTTCTATGAACTAAATAGAAGTTACAGAATCATGTAAGAAAATCTTTGCTATTGTTTGGAGACAAACTGCTGCATTTCTGTTTCTTAAGTGATGATATATTTGTCCATGTAACAGAACAAAAGACCCATCTGGAAATTTTTTTACTGGTATTACCTTACATGGTTTCACCGGGAACATTTATGGAATCAACACTTCCGTAGCTCAGCGACAAGTGTTGGGTATTTAAGTGTGGAGCAATATTAAAATATCCTGGTGACTAGTACATGTATTTCTCCATAAGCGAAGTTGCCAGATCAATAAACACACAGGTTTGGACTTTGATCTTCACCAGGTCAGTGGATTGCTTCAAAAGCAAAGTTTTGTGCAAGCGCTCACTAAGTATGCTCTCTGAAAGAGCCTGCGCCCGCAACTAATGAGACTTGTCTGCTCTTCTGCAAAGATCAGTTTCTTCTCTGCAACATCAAGGATATATGAGGAAAAGGAAATAAAAGCTGTAAAGTCAAAAGAGATGCCTGGTGGAACTTATTTGTGCTATCAGGACATGGATCGTTTGAATGTTTTTATTACTTATGCAAGATTGCACATATTCCTCTACGCTGACTTTCTCATGAAAACTGTCATGAGTCACGCTCATGGAAAATGTCTTATTTGTAAATAAGTGTTCATAATTTTGTTATGGTGTTTTTATCTAGAATTTGAAAAACAAATTGTCATGGTGTACAGATGTGTGTTTATATTGCCAGTAATCCAAGGGAAAAATAAGATGCTAACCAAAGCCACATAGCCGGGCCTCGACTCAGATACCATAGAGTAGATGCTATTTCCTGCCTTTACTGTACCAGCGCCTAGGATGTTCAGTGCAGAAAAAGTTAATTGTTTTAGACAACATGATGGTATTTCCTTCAAGTTATGAGTCCAGTGACACACCAATCATATCTTATACCAGGAAGGGGCCACCAAACTATGGCCTGTGGGCTCAATCCAGCCCATGGCTTGTTTCTGTACAGCCTATAGGCTAAGAGTGGGGTTTTTTTTTTAATAGTTGAGGAAAAAAAGCCAAAAAATGACATCATTTAATGACATATGCAAATAATACAAAATTCAAATTCCAGTGTCCCTCAATAAGGTTTTATGGGAACACGACCACACTTTTTTTTAAGACAGGATCTGGCTCTGTTGCCCAGGCTAGAGTACAGTGGCACAGTCATAGCTCACTGTAGCCCCACCTCCTGGGTTAAAATGATCCTCCTGCCTCAGCCTCCTGAGTAGATGGGACTACAGATGGATGGCACCACGCCTAGCTGAGTTTTTCATTTTTTATAGAGACAAGGTCTTGCTATGTTGCCCGGGCTGGTCTTTAACTCCTGGCCTCAAGTAATCCTACTGCCTTGGCCTCCCAAAGTACTGGGATTACAGATGTGAGCCACCATGCCGGGCCACAGCCACACTTTCATTTACGTATTGCCTGTGGCTGCCTCACACTACAAAGCTGAGTTGAGTGGTTGTGACCGACTGTGTGGCCTGCAAAGCCTAAGATATTTACTCTCTGGACTTTTACAGAAATTTTGTTGACCATGGTCTCTACAAAGGAGTTCAACTCTCCTTTGGCTTGCCATTATTTTAAACACCAATCCACAGCTGTGGCATCCCTGAGACTACCACCAGAGGGCGATGTGGGCCCCACAGTAGTGCATAATCAGGACCTTTCTTGGAAACAATGAAAGACTTGGCATTTCAGATGGTTCCACCCTAATTACATTAGCATTATTTCCTAACAGGAAAAAGGCTTCAAGAAACAAAACAGTACTCGTTCACTGGAAGATGCTTTGAGACACCAACATTAAGTTAAGGAGATTTTGACTAACCTGGAGTCAAGGGTCTGGTTTAAGAATTTACGTCCCACTCATTTTCCTGGCTCAAAGTCTTCTGCAAAGTAGGTTTTCAAGTAATTGCAGAATCGGCCAGGCACAGAGGCTCACGTCTGTAATCCTTGCACTTTGGGAGGACAAGGGGAGCAGATCACTTGAGGTCGGGAGATTGAGACCAGCCTGGCCAACATGGTGAAGCCCCATCTCTACTAAAAATACAAAAATTAGCTGAGCGTGGTAGCACAGGCCTGTAATCCCAGCTACTTGGGAGGCTGAGGCAGGAGAATCGTTTGAACTCAGGAGGTGGAAGCTGCGGTGAATCAGGATCGCACTACTGCACTCCAGCCTGGGCAACACAGTGAGACACCATCTCAAAAATCAAATAATTGCAAAATTGCCAATTGGAAATTTTGTCATGAGCTTACCTCATGGTGATAGTTACACTGTTCCTTTAAAGAGACATTTACATAACTTGTTGTCAAATTGTTAATCACTTTAAAATAGAGTAATAACTACATTTGCCTCTACAATTGAAGCAGATTACTAACATTTTAGAGAAACTGCTTGCTTACAAAGTAGCTATTTAAAACAATATTTAAATGCAATATATACTGTCTTGTAGATTAAAATACTTCATTGCATTATACTTTGTAATGAAAATGTTCTATTCAATAAGGTATCCTTTTTCTTTTTCCTTTTGGCCAAGGTGGCACTAAGTAAAATTTAAATGAAGAAGTGGTATAATCCATGAGTCAGCCAGACTTTCTTTCAGCTGGAAAAATCTTTAGTAACACCTCCCTTCTAAATGACAGAAACTAACTTTTCCAAACACACCGTCAACAGCAGGCACTCAACAGAGAGCATTGGTTATGCTCCGTTTCCTAACCTAAAGGACTCTTGCCACAGACCCACCTCTGAGAGCCCAAGCTCCTCAGTGTTTTTAATCTTATGGTCACATTTCATCCAATTACCAGAATACCTTTTATACATGTTAGATTTCCAAAGAGGTAAGTGAATCACGTAATGCAGGTGAACTGTACCCAGTCAAGATACCTTATCTGGCTTTTTCTATGTTTTTGGTATTTTTTTTTTTTTTTTTTTTTTTTTTTGATTTTTGCTCTTGTTGTCCAGGCTGGAGTGCAGTGGCGAGATCTCGGCTCACCACAATCTCTGCCTCCTGGGTTCAAGCAGTTCTCCTGCCTCAGACTCTCGAGTAGCTGGGATCACAGGCACACATTACCATGCCCAGGTAATTTTTTATTGTTAGCAGAGATGCGGTTGGTCAGTCTGGTCTCACTCACAACCTCAGGTGATTCTCCCACCTCGGCCTCCCAAAGTGCTGGAATTACAGGAGTGAGCCACCGTACCCAGCCTTTTCTTCTAAATATTAAGACTTTCTCCCTAGCCTGTGTCTATTCCTACCTAAAAGTCAAGTTAACATGAAGTAAAAAATGACGTATTGCTTCTGAAGATGGGATTGCTTGGCATTTGGGATCTTTGCTTTAAGTGATAATGCTTCCCCATTCCGGTTCTATCTGCCTGACTGACCAGAACATTTACTATTGCACATTTTCCAGGTTTGATAGGAAAATGCTGAGTGTTGTAGGCACAGATATTCCTGCTCACAGGCACTTTACCAGCCTTTGAAAAAATCAGTTTATACACACACGGACACTAGTTTCAATAAACTTCTGTTTGGATATTCCTATTTTTGAATATTTTCTACACTTAATAGTGTTTTCAGTCTTCAGCATATCTGTGCCATAGTTACACATTTGAATATTACCAAACAGGACCCTATGAATATATGTAAATATAACTCAATTTATTAATTTCAAGGCTTCTTTATAGGTGTCCTTTTACAAACTATATGACATGACAAGTTTATGCACGATTATTTTGAAGTAGCTTTTTTACTTTTGGGTGGTTTCCTTATCTTATTAGGGTTTGGAATCAGTTTCTTTATTTTAAGAGGTTGTAATGTTACAGAAGCCTGCTGACCTTCAGCAAGCTTTCTCTTAGGTTTTGACAGATCTTCAAATGAAGTGTCCAAAAGCTCTTTGTCTTGGCTCTCCACAGGTTCAGTCTCTAAATTTTCCCCAGCATCTTCAGTTCTGTCTTGAAGCCACGGCACACTTAAACTGGGTACTCTGGGGATGATGGCTCTTACTTCATCCACAAAGTCACTGGTGTTCTTTTTGAACCCCAAGGCTAGAACACATTTTAAGCCTATGACAGGGGCGATTCTCTCGCTGAGCCGGGGGACCTGGCAGGCAGGGACAGTTCTGCTGAGGCTTAACTGAATCAAGTGTGAGGTGATAATGGCAGGCTTGACAGATTTACACACCAGAACTAACAGCAGCTCACTCCTCTCCAGGGCTCTGGTAACTTCGTTAACGCCAATGGCAAGCTGCTTCCTGACGTGTGCGGGCGTCCACCCAGACACCTGCTGCTTAGCATCTGTTTTCTTCTCCTTCAGATCCTCGCTGATATCAACAGCGAGGCTGCATTTCTGTTTGCTTTCTTTTTTCGGAAAAGGTGTTTTGTTCTTTTTCTTCCTGTCTTCAATCTTCTGAAGTCCAATAGCTTTAAACCTGTTCTCCAGCGTCTGCAGGATGAAGTGCATATCCTCGCTCCCCAGAGCGCTCCAGCAGACGGTGTATGGGTTGTTCAACGACGTCTTCACAACCAAAGGTCTTGTCTTACGCACAGATCCCCGCGCCGGTGCCTGGGGAGCTGCAGCCATTTGGAAAATCCTCCCAAGAAATAAAATGACAACGGAAAAAATTCATCTTAACTACAATTACATGACTTAAGAATATTTTGGTTGTACTCTGAGACAGAATTTCGCTCTTGTTGCCCAGGCTGGAATGCAATGGCGCAATCTCGGCTCACTGCAACCTAAACCTCCTGGGTTCAAGTGATTCTCCTGCCTCAGCCTCTCGAGTAGCTAGGCTTACAGGCACCTGCCACCACGCCCAGCTAATTTTTGTACTTTTAGTAGAGATGGGGTTTCACCATGTTGGCCAGGATGGTCTCAAACTCCTGACCTCAGGTGATCCACCCGCCTTGGCCTCCCTAAGTGCTGGGATCACAGGTGTGAGCCACCACGCCCAGCCTGTACTCTGCTTCTTGATAAGCTAGAGCAAGCCTGATTATGTAAGTCCAATTAGGTGAGTATACACTTATCCTCTTTTTAAAGATTAAGTAATTTTATTTTTCCCCACTTTTCTTACCCCATTTTGAATGCTTTACTGCATCCCTTTAAAAAACTCAGGACTGCCCAGTCACAGTGGCTCACGCCTGTAATCCCAGTACTTGGGAGGTGGAGGCAGTCAGATCACAAGGTCAGGGGTTCAAGATCAGCCTGACCAACATGGTGGAACCCTGCCTTAAAAAGAAAATTCAGTACTATGGGTGACCAATGTTTAATTTCCCAATTTTTTTTTTCAAATGACTTGTCTTTATTCCTATACAAGCAATATGTGAATGTTTTATTATTAGAATCATAGGGCAATTCCATCTATTCATTTCATTTATTAAAAATATTCTGTTTCTACTTGTTCATAATTAACCTTTTAGTGACTGTTATGGTATTAATCTTATAACTTGTTACTGTTTTCCAAATTGCTGTCTAGGTGGGCTTCCATCCATTCATTCAACAAATATTCTAGGCCAGATCATGCCTTTAGTCCCAGCATTCTGAGAGGCTGTGGTGGGCAGATCAGTTGCGCCCAAGAGTTCGAGACCACCCTGGGCAATATGGAGAAATCCTCTACAAAAAATATATAAATTAGCTAAGTGTGGGGCATATCTGTAGTCCTAGCTGCTTGGGAGGCTGAGGTGGGAGGATCACTTGAGCCCAGGAGGTCAAGGCTGCAGTAAGTGTGATCATGCTACCACACTACAGCCCCGCAAATCATCACTCTGTTTAAAAAAAAAAGCCGAGATCGCGCCATTGCACTCCAGCCTGGGTGACATGAGTGACTGTTTAAAAAAAAAAAAAAAAAAAAAAATAATTATCTGAGCACCTCCAGTGTGCAAGTGGTGTTCTAGGTCCTGGGGCTCACAGGAAACAAGCCCCACCATCCCCCTGCAGAGAGCTTACAATCTGCAAGGAGTTTGGAGGTGTGATATTTTAAAGAACTGGAACAGTCATCTCATGATGAAAACTTCAAATAATACTGTCGTGTCCACTTTTCTAAGTCTCCCCCCACCAAGAGCCCTAAATTTCTTGAATATCCTTCCTGTAGCACTTGATACATATGCAGGCATACATTCTCCCTTTTTTTTTTTTTGGTTTCGTTTTTGAGACAATTTCCCTCTTGCCCAGGCTAGAGTATAATGACACGATATCAGCTCACTGCAACCTCTGCCTCCCAATTTCAAGCAACTATCTTACCTTAGCCTCCCCAGTAGCTGTGATTACAGAAGCCTGCCACACCAGGCCTGGCTAATTTTTGTATTTTTAGTAGAGACAGGGTTTCACCATGTTGGCCAGGCTGGCTTTGAACTCCTGATCTCAGGCGATCCACCCACCTCAGCCTCCCAACGTCCTGGGATTACAGGTGTGAGCCACTGTGCCCTGCTATGCCTCCTTATCGGGGCCCCCAAGCTGACTTCTCTGGCTGGTATTTTCATGAAGACTAGGGAAATGTAATGAAATTTTAAAATATTAATCCATTGAGGAAAAATGAGAATAGGGATGCCTAATGGGAAAATGTTATAAACTACTAGTGCAGAAGGCATAATCCTGTTTATCTCCCAGAGGCAACTACGCATTCCTTTCTCTGCCCTCAGTTTTCCTTTCTACCTTCCTGGGGCTCAGCTAGAACCACAGGGACCCCACTTGGCAAAACTAAAGTAAGTTATGTCCTTTCCATTTATATTTCCACTTACGAGGCTGGTGGCTGATGCTGAAGGCAAGTGTGTCTGTGCAGTATCTCACTGTATAAAGCACTCTCTCCATGGATTATTTGCTTCTTGCAGCATTCCTATACAATTCCCCAGTGTGTGGCCAACATGGTGAAACCCTGTCTCTACTAAAAATACAAAAAATTAGCTTGGTGTGGTGAGGCGCCTGTAATCCCAGCTACTCTGGAGGCTTAGGCAGGAGAATCACTTGAACCTGGCAGGCGGAGGTTGCAGTGAGGCGGGATAGCGCCACTACACTCCAGCCTGGGCGACTGCTATGTCTCAAAAAAAAAAAAAAAGTAAGTTCAAGTAAGTTAATGTGGCTGGGGCAGAGATGCTAGAGTAAACGGTGAGAAACTAGGAAAGGTGGGTAAGGACCAGATGGTGAAGACCTCTGCAAACCTTCCAGTGGGAAGCGACTTTAACGTCTAAAACAGAGGGGTCGTGATTAGAAGGATCGTTATAGATCTTTGTGGATCTGGGCAAAGCAAGGGTCCTTGAGCAACACAGACGCTCCTGGAGTTGTCCAGGTTAGAAATGGCTGTGGCCTGCTCTACAGGCGCCGCAGAGAGGACTGCAGAGAAACACATGTTAGTCGGAAAAGGAGGTAGAATCCCGAAGCAGTAGTGACCCGCTGGGAGTAAAGTTGAAGAAAGTATCAGGGTGACTCCCGGTTTCTTGATCCCGCCATAGACGAGGGGCGACGGCCGACCCAAAGCTCACCTCCCCACTGCACGCCGCCCCTGGATCGAGTACCTTAGTGCTTTACTATTTAGCACACGGAACTGTTCTGTTGTCCGTGTCTCCCTGGAGACGGTGGAGAACAGAAGGATCGGCGTGGGATTTTCCTTTGTACTCCTGGTGCCCAGCCGGGGCTACAATCCAGCAGAGGAACCCGAGGAGAGGCGCGGAAGCTCTGAGTGAGCGAGCCCGTCCCGGGACTGGGCGGCCCAGAAGCCGCAGAGGTCTTGCGTGCACGTGGGCTTCGGCCTCCAGAATCCGCGGAGTCCCGGGCCAGATGCCTCCGGGGTAGGCCTCCGGCCCGGCGTGCGCTTCGCGTGGCTACCTAGAATTCAAGAGGGAAACTCCGCCGTCACCCGAGGGCAACAGCGCCGGATCCAAGCGCGCCTGCGCCGCGCGTGCGCGGAGATCTCGCTTCTCGGCCACGCCTTCCAGACGCGGCATGGGGCGGGGAAGTTGCTCGGAGCAGTGCAGCGTTATCCTGCGTTAGCTCACTCTGGAGAGGGGAAAGCGACCCACAGGGTCCCTCGGCCCAGAAACCACACATCGAGGCCCCATCTTTTGGACTCGAGTTTAGGCCCCGGGGTGGAGGCTCCGGACTGGCCCCTCTACAGCGGTAGTGCGCAGGCGCAAGGTCGGTATCGCGAGATCATGCGGTTGCCCTGGTAACCAGACGCTCAGGATTTGGACCGCCTAGTTCAGAGGCCCCAGAGGACTGTCTCTCTCGAGGAGTCTGTGCCCCCCTCTCTCTTCTAACCCAATTTCTGCCTTTCAATGCCTTGGAGTCTTAGCTCTCTATCTCGGTTCGCTTTTCCGTATTTGCTTAGCCTCGAGGACGCACATCTCCCCTTGTCCCAGTGAGCCCTTCGTCATAGAATCCCTGCGGACTCTCCAGCACCGCGAAAATCAAGATAAAAGGGAGGAGTGTTGGGTAAAACACATGCTTATAGGCAGTAATGCAGGGAATCTTGAGCCCTGAAAAGAGAAAGGCAGTGAAGAGTTGCCTTGAATTCAGCAACAGCTGCCCAAAATATCCTATCCAGTGTCCACTGTGACTGCTCCAACCAATGAAGACTCAAGTTACCATCGGAGTCGCTGCAGTCCGGGACAAGTGATGAAGAGGCCGAATACCTTTCTTTCCTTTCTTTTCTTTCTTTCTTTTCTTTCTTTTTTCTTATTTTTGAGATGGAGTCACGCTCTTTTGCCCAGGCTGGAGTGCAGTGGCGCGTTCTCGGCTCACTGCAACCTCGGCCTCCCGAGTTAAAGCGATTCTCTTGCTTCAGCCTCCCAAGTAGCTGGGACTACTGGCGCGTGCCATCATGCCCGGCTGATTTTTTGTATTTTTAGTAGAGACGGGTTTCACCATGTTCGGCAGGATGGTCTCAATCTCCTGACCTCGTGATCCACCTGCCTCGGCCTCCCAAGGTGCTGGGATTACAGGCGTGAGCCACCACGCCGGGCCTCCGTGATTTCAATTTTCATGTTTAAGTAACTATGAAGTATCTAACTGGCCATAAAGCAAACACAACGAAATAAAACGATATGGCTTTTGGTCAAAGGTCATTGGAGGTTACACTACATAGGGTAAAGTGCAATGTGATTTTTGTCACAATTAGAAAGATGAAAAAGAGATTACAGTGAGTTTGTAAAAACAGGCTTCTGTTTCATAAAATGAATCTGGTGAGTTCGCTGTGATGAATTGCAAGCAGCTTGCATTTCCAAAGACAAATAGTGACACACAGGCGTCTAATTAAAATGCTAAAGTAATGGGAAGGAAACGTGCATGCGTTTCTGACCCCCTAAGGTTCCAGATTTATAGTTTGAGCTATCTTGGCTTACATTTTCTCCATAGAAAACATCAGCCGTTACATTACTTGGCTCTGGGCTGAAATCCTAATTTCATCACTGAAGAGCTTATGACCCTAGGCAACTTTATTAACCTCCTCTATGAAGTGATAAAAATAGTATCTATTGTGAGGATTAGAAGAGATGATCCTGTATGCTGAGATGACTGTTATGTGCAGGGCACATAGTTACGTGCTTGATAAATTGAACTATGGTGAATTCAGTCTCAACCAAGTTAATAAAAATGAAACATAACCTCTATTATTTTAGTGCTTGTGTTTTATTTTAAAACTAGCAGTATAATTTTCACAAGTATTTTGCTAAAATCAACAAGTACGTTTTGAAAGTAGTTTCTCTGCCTCTTATATCACGCAAACATTACAACCAAAAAGTAAAATGCTTTCTCCCATGACCCAATCACGGCCCCCCGCCTTTTTTTTTTTTTTTTTTTTCTT